GGCAAACAAGTACTGCACCAAGTTCTGCATAATCTACTACCCTCTGTGTTAATTTGTGGCTTGTTCTTGCAGTGCTGAGCCTCCTTATTTATTGACTTATTTTTAAATAATAATTTAGAATCCAGGAATGATTCAGAAAGTCAACCCATTCAGATCCTCGCAGCCAAAGGTTTCATTTTTAATAATGATTACTGATAATTTAATTGTTGAACGCGAACAGAAAATTGTGCTCGGTTTATCCTTCTGGAAAGTCCTCTTCTTGCATCTTGTGTTTTCAGGATGTTGAGCCTCAACACAATGACCTCACATCCAGCGCTGGAAGCCTGACAGGCAAAAGCAACTTGCCAGAGAAGCAGGTCGATCTCTGTCTGTGTCATACCATTACATACACGTTTATTTTTCCTACCCACATTTAGTATTTTAACAGTTTAAGAAAGTCAGCTGTGTAATTTGGAGTAGAGAAAATATTCCAGTACGCTCTCAGTGTTGTTCTTTCCACGACCACAAGATGTTGCCAAAGCAAAAACAATAGAGTCTCCACAGAACAAATACTTCCTGACCATTTTTTTTTCTTTTCTATTTTAATTTTGAATCCACTTCATGAACAGTGCTTACATTGATTGTTTACAGCTTTTAAAAGACACATAGATTTAAAGAAGTAATGTCTGTTGCTCTTTTCTACTTTTTGTTTTTAGAACCCTGGAATGTTCAAAGAGACGATGCAGAAAGTAAATCCCTTTAAGTCGCACACACAGGTATGATGTCAATTATCAATTCAGATCGGTCAGTTTTAGAGTTTCCCACTGACCTAGCTGGAGTATCTACTTAATGTGAGTATGTTTGCCACTGTTTGTTTGCAATTTAGATTCAAGATCAATGTCAGAGAGATTTGACGGTTACCTCTGTCAAGACACTGGTAAGGCCTAAGATGGAAATAAAAAGATGCACATGTCTGGTATTTCTTATGGTTAAGGACTTTTAACATAACACATTTGACAGATTTTTATCATAACAGAAGTGTACTTGGTTCTGTCTGTGATTTCCTGCGTTTTTCTCTCAACAATTATCAGGAAAACCAAGCAGATATTCACAGTGACAACTCCACCAGCTCTGAAAGCCTGGATGACAGCACAATAGAGAGACATGTAAGGCAATAACCACATCTCCTTGTCTTTAAAATGAACCCAGCCCTCCAAGCTCATAGTTATTTCTTATTCACCTGTTACGCACAGAAATGTATGACTTCATTTAGTACATCACTTTTACAAGGAAGCAGCCTTTTGTTAACCTAATTGCATTTCATGTAATGGTTGTTTTATCTTACCGTCTTCTCGCACTTGGTGATTTCCAGAACCTATTGTTCAATGAAAAATACTAGCATGTTGTCAGTCTGCAAAAATGCAAAGCATGTGACCAGGTTGAAGCAGTGCTTACTTAAATGATCAGCATTTTCGTCATGATGTTTGTTGATGTCTTAACTGCAGCCATAACAAGGAAAATGGCACTCATATTTCCCGGACTGGTGAAGTTTGATAACAACAGTGTACGGGAATGTGTTCAGAGACTATGCTAACAAAGCCAAATGCACTGGAGAAAAAGTGAAGAAAACCAGACAAACAAACAAGAAACTTTGTACCTACTGAAAATCTTTGTCAGGTGCATAAGTGTAACATTTACACAGTATTAAGCTCTAAGCACTCAGTTCACTCCCTTTCCAAAGTCTGTTTGGTATATAGATGCTGACACCAGCTGTGATGTAAAAACCCAGCCAACACAGGCCCAAAGGAGAAGAACCAGGGTATGTTATGCAGAGTATTGGGTCCTTATGAATTCAGAATAAACTAATTTAATATTTACCATTGTTTTACATGTTGCCTGGTTCTTTTCATGTTGATAATGATGGTTTGATGTCACTGTTTTCATGTGGGTGGCTGAAAAAAAATCAAGAAAAACATATTTGTAATGACTTTTTTTCCTCTTTCCTGAAGACTTTTAAACTACTTTCCAGATTTCACAGGAATACTGAAACACCACCGGCAGTTTCTTCTCAAACATATCGAGTTCTTATTTGCTTTGTTTTTGACTCCACAGGACTCTGCAAATGCATTTTCTGACACTCAAGCCCCGCCCCAGGTTAGTAATGAAGTAAATGTATATAGCACCTTTCTAACTTACATGCTATCTTTACATTAAGCAATAAAGATAAATGTAATCAAATGCCTAAGGAGCTTGAAAGAAAAGCATCTGGACTTCTTAGGTGTCTTGAAGATGTTTCACCTCTCATCCGAGAAGCTTCTTCAGTTGTAAGAGGTCAAATGGCCCAGGATGTGAGTGGGCGTTAAGGCGGGGATTTAGCTCTTAGAACTCGTGAAGCTTCTCCAATGAGAGGTGAAATGTCTTCAAGAAAATTATAGAAGTCCAGACGCTTTTCTTCCCAAGCTCCCTAGACTACGATGCCTGGATGGCTGAGAACCTTGACACACAACTTAATCAAATGTTTATCAGTGGTTTTATTTTCAAAATACAATTGGGAGGTGAGCATGCTAATAGGTTTGCACAGTGCTATTATGTCACTGTGTAAATAAAACTACACACGGACATTTCAGTGAGAATTCGGTCTTTATTTACTCATGTAATGTGTAAGTAAATATGACAGCCACATATACATAAGAAGATAAAGCCTGCTCTACATTTGACCCATTGAGTAACGACAAACAATGCGAGGATTCTACAGTCCAATTGTAGCTGTGAGAAAAAGGGTGGTTTAAACTGCTATGTTTAAATACTAAACATATAAAGATGTTGAGGTAGGAATATTATACTAGGGTGACGTGGCATTTCACAAGTTACCAGAAAACAGTTGGTGATTTAAAAGAGAGATGTTATTTGCTTTTCCATGTTTGGTTAGCTTGTGACTTTGAAGTTGTCATTCCAGTTTTTGGTCCCCATGCTTGACATATTTTACTCTAAACACCTGGTAAACAACGTTGCAGTAACCTTTCAATTTGGGACTATTTCTTTTCACCAAAACTAGATCATCTATCATCTCATGAAGATAAATGAACTAAAAATGCATTATTAGTCTAATGCATGGGTTCTTTGGCTCACTTGATCTTGTCCTCTCTTTATCGAGTCCTCTTGAGTACAACATGATTTCATTTTTGCAATTCACGGGTTTCTGCCTTTCATTTAACAAAACATTAAGAATTAATCTATTGCTGTCAACGTCATTAAATTTCTATAAACACAACATCAAAAACTCTTTTTTTCTTGTTCGCTAACAGAAATTTCTAAGAAGTAATTATAGTGTTTATATAGTTTATAGATAGAAAGATTCCGGATATGATTACGTGACAGTTTAAATGAAAAAAAAGAAAGGTGAAACTAGGTGGTTAGTCAGGTCTGTCGAGGTTGGCATAAAGTTTTGGAGAGTAATAAAATTGAAGCATGTAAATACAGTTATAGTAAAGCTAAGGCGGCAGTGTACAGATGTTTTAAAGAGAAAGAAAAACTTACACAGTAACATTTTTTTGTTTGTTAATGCCTAGTTGTAGGCAGTTTTGTGAAGCTGTTATTTACAGCTTACATTAATATTTCACAACAGGAAGTGTCACTGTGTTAAACCTCAGATGATTTATAAGCTTTGCTGAAATCGCAACACAAACGCAGGTTCAATCTTTTTAGACGAGATTTTAGGCTCATTTAGAAATTCTGTCTAGTGTTCCATGTGTCACCTCTTGTTCCAGGAGGTAGTTGAAGTTCAGACATTGCAATTGGCTGAAGTACCAGTGTGCAGTGAAGGAACGGACCTGGACCCTCTAGATGTATGTTTATCTTATTTTTTCTGGTGTATGTTCTGTGTATTTTAAATTTCTTTCTCCATACAGTCACAAAGCAGTAAGTTAAAAGACTGTTTATTTCCAGGATGACGAAGGCCTTTTGTCATGGTGGAGAACAGTCGAAGGTATCACTGATTTACTGTTAACCTTATTTATTGTTGTTGAAAGTTGCACCTCATAACGTCTTTCTGTGCCTTAGGTTGGGATGAGTGGAATGAGGCAAACCAGAATGATGAATCTGAAGAGTAAGTAGAACATTTACTGAAATCAGTTTATTACACTCACTGACCACTTCACCTCTTAAACTGCACATTAGTGCAAATAGTTGGCCAATCATATGGCGGCAACTGAGGCATTTAGACATGATCAAGACAATCAGCTGATGTTCAAGCCAAGCAAATGTGATTTCACTGAAATTGATACTGATTTTAAACATGGCCTGGTTGTTGGTCCGAGTGTTTCAGAAACTGCTGATCTGCTGGGATCTTCCCACACAACCATCTACAGTTTACAGAGAATGATTCAAGAAAGAGAAAATCTCCAGTCAGCAGCATTTCTTTGGGCAAGAATCCCTTTTTGAGGACCGGGTAGAATGGTCAGACTACAGTAACTCAATTAATTCTTTGAGCCTTGAAACAGATCGGATACGGTTCATATGGATGCTCCAAAATTGGACAGTAGAAGACTGAAAAATTGTTACTTGGTATGGATGAGTTAGGATAACGTACCATGTCACAAAGCTAAATCATCTCAAACTGGTTTATTGATCATGACAATGAGTTCACTCTACTTAGGTGCCCTCCACAGTCAGGAGATCTCAGTTCAATAGAGCACCATTTTGGATGTCGTAAAACAGGAGATTCTTATCAAGCAGCCAACAAATCTGCAGCAACTGTGTGATGCTGTCATGTCAATATGGACCATAATCCCTGAGGGATGTTTCTAGCACCTTGTTGCATCCATGTTATGGAGAATTAAAATAGTAGCTGGTGAGTGTATAGCACACTTAACACAACTAACTTTAACCAAAGTGTTTCCCACCAACAACTGACTCACACATAGCCACAGAAACAACTTCTCTATTAAAGACTATTGCGTTATTTAGGATTTAGCAGATTCACAAATACAGGACTAGAAAACCTTCAGGGAAGTCTGAAGCAGAAACAAACAACAGGCAGAACTATTCACCAACACAAACTCTGAAGAACCTGCCTGAAAGTTACAAACCGTAAAAAAACAAGGGTTTACTTCCCTAGACCAACAAAACAGGCAAAATAGTTATAAAATGAACAAACGCCAACTCACACCTGAAAAAACTGCAACTTACAAAAAAATTACTGCTGTAGCTGGTTGGATGAAAGGGAAATCAAATTATTCTCTGCAGATTGTTGACATCTTCACTCCTTACAGAGGGTGTGGTCCTCAGGCTGCAGCCAGTCACCTGTAAGCTGTAGCATTGCTAAACCAACTGCAGGTTCCTGACTCAGGATGTGTAATCCTGGTTTCTGGAATACTGGAACAACAACATTGATGTCTCCCTATCTTCATTCTCAGCATTCTCCTGCCCACACATCTTGTATTTTCTTGGTAGCCAGAACAAGACGGTCTCTTGTTTTGCATGTCTATCAGGTTTTTGTGAGACACCCTTAGCTTTAAGCCCATAATGGAGAGACCTGAGGCACTGATGGGTGGATCAGATTACTGTACTAACACACGGGATATATGGCTGTCCACCGCCCTTCTTGTGAACACACGAATAACTGGTCATTGTGCTTTCCTTTCTTTCTCTTAAAGACAGTTTCCATTCCTTTATCCCATTATATAGTCCACCAGCCATAAAGAGTCGTCCAGGAAGTAGTTAGGGAGTGCTGAAACACACCCTCTCCATGTTAACCAGCAGCAAAGTAGCTGGTTAACATGGAGAGGGTGTGGTCTCAAGTTCTCAAATATCACATTTCTTTGATGCTCTTTGAGCCACATCTGAGATGCTGATCCCATTTAAAATCACACATTTGCGTTAAGAAAATAAGTCTTAAGCTCTGTTACAGTACACTGCCTAAAACCTCAGACTATTTTGCCATGACAGTGAAGTATTTACCATTCCGTCATTTCTTGCTGCACGGTAGACGTGTTCTTTATTGTTCACAGAATATGTTTTCCCATAGGAAGCTTTGCAATGTTGAGCTACAGTTTTAATATAAAAACATGTCTCTTGGTTGAAGTTCACTCATTGCTTTCCCCGTGAAACCCTTCCCCTGTGCCTTTTTCTCAGAGTGGTGGAACAAGCAGCTGATCGCGTCTTCATGGCCGCTCGACTTTTTGTTCGTTTTTTTAACCAACGTGGCGCCTCACTGCAGCAGCGCATCCTTGAGCTCCTTGCCTTGGCTGATGCAGCAGACAATTTTCACAAAAAAACGGTCACGGCCAGTGTCGGCGGTGGATTGGCCAGTGTCGCCGGGTCTATCACCACCATCACCGGCCTCATTCTGGCTCCCTTCACAGCTGGAACATCGCTGATTGTCACAGCTGTAGGCATTGGCATAGCTACAGCTGGTGGCGTGACATCTGCTTCGGCCAATATCACTGACACTGTCCATTCAAAGACGGACCGCAAGAAGGTGGAGAAGATGATTCAAGATTACCAGGGGGAGATCAAGGACATCAAAGAGTGCCTGGACTTTTTACAGGTAAGAACGCACCAAGAAGGGAACACACACGATGGCTGGCTTACAAGTAGGGCTGGGTATCGTCACGTATTTCTACAACTGATTCAATTCTGATCACAAGGTCCCGATTTGATCCCCGATTTTAATTTTGACTCAGACAGTCAGAAATATTATAATTCTGATCATTTATCTTGGATATGTCCTGTCCAAAGAACCTTCTGAACATTTTAAATTGAAAATATGTAATTCTAAATTATTTGCCTATTTCTCTGCTATTAAAAACTCAGTGTAAACTATCTCAGTATAAAAAGAAAGCCGACACTTGTGAGACTTCATCAGAGGTGCAAACATCACAGCAGACGCCTTTGTGTCAAAGTGACTGAAATAAAAATATTCAGCAGTAGATGAAAAACTAAAGAAAACCATGAATGAACCTATGAACATTACGTGATACTGCTGATACTGTATAAACAAGACGAAACAGTAGGCAGTCAAACGATTTTTGATTGGAAACTGGTCTTACAGCATACTGAAAAAGAGCTGTGCGGGAAGTGCAATTTTATCATGGTGGAAGCAAGAACACAAAAGTAAGAGGAAATTCATGATATTGTTTTTCAAAGGCGAAACGTAATTTTGCTCTTTTGTTGTTGGATCAGTGACTTTAGGTTGGAGAGTAATAAAACCTGCAGTTTTAGAGTCTCTGAGATGTCGACTTTCAGCACCCAACAGCGTGTGAATTGAGAAATCTATTTTTTAAACCCACCCTACTTGCAAACTGAATTCACTGATTGGGTTTGTTAGTCCTTTATGTAAAACCTGTAAGATGTTGGTGAAGAGCTGGCAACATATAATTTATTTCTTAGCTCAAGAATTTGTCATGGGGCATAGGAGTGCATTGAATACTTTCAGCATACCACGTTTGAAAGGCATCCATTTACTCAACATATAAAGAAAAATCTGTTAATCTGAATGTTTGGCTCGAGGTCGTTGAAGCATCATTTAGCACTGTGGTTAAACCACATCAACTACAGTGTTTACAGAAGCATTGACAGTTCAGCTGCCTTGTTCCTGTTGATGCATGGTTTGAATTGAACTTTCACGATAACCATTTACCGGAGTGAATTCTCGAGAAAGAAACAAGAAACACATAAACAATCATTCTGTCAATGAGATGCTGTCATGCAGCATTATTTTGTCAGTTGTCTGTCAGTTGACTGTCAGATACGACTGTTGTTTTTTTTAACCAACTGACTGCAATAATAATGCAAGGAAATATAGTAAGTATACATAAAGAGCCAAGTAAGCTTTAACTTTCGATGAGTCTAAGTTTTATGTTGGCCCTTAAAGGTAAAATACATTCCAATTTGAGAAAACAGCAAATGAAAAAATGCAGCAAAACATACAAAACAATACTGATGTTGGAAAAAAAAAACCACAGTAGAAGTTCAATAAAACACAATGAAACTGAAAAAAAAATGCTGACAAAACAATGAGGAAGTGTTTTTAGGGAGACAAGAATGTGACAGAAGAGTTGTGGAAGGCCTTTAGAAAAAACATACCTACAGTACTATATTAATCATGTGACATAACCTTGCATTTTTTTCTCTCATCTCATCTTTTTATCTCAGTACAATCAGTTTCAAGGGCAAAAAAAGTCTCTCAGCTAATCTACATTTAGAAATAAATTCTAGTGTTGGTATGGCCACAGCTGCTAATGTCAAATTTTTATCTCACGTATACCTGACAGGAAGGGATGGAGACACTCCAGCAGTGGGACTTTGAGAAGTATGCAGAGAGCATCGCAAAAAACCACTTAAACCAGGACGTCAAGCATGTAATCAAGGAGGGTGGTCGAGCTGGCAAAGCTCTGGTGGTCAACACAGACAGTCTGATCAATACTGTTCAAGTCCTGAATGTTGCTGGTGGTGCTGCCAAAGCTGCCCAGGTGATGAGTGTCACTACCGGAGTAATGTCAGGCCTCTTCCTGGCTCTTGATGTGTTTTTCCTGGCAAAGGACTCTATGGAACTGAAAAAGGGGGCAAAAACAGAGTTTGCTGTCAAGATCCGAGAAGTTTGCAAGGACCTACAGAATGGCCTGCTGGAGCTGAACAGAATCAAGGAACAGCTTCAGAAAACTATGGATGGGATAGAAGTGGAGGTAGAGGAGGTGGAGAATGAAGAGCAGTTGAAATCTGATCTGAAGAAACTCACTGACCTTGAAGACTGAAGGGCAGTGTTTAGAAAACAAAACAAGGTCCTCATTGTCTTGTGTTGATACCAAAAACATTTATTGCTGGTTTGCTGCAATTTTGAGTTGATCTGACTTACACAATACTTTTATTAGTGGACAAGGTGAGATGACCTTTTACTCAAACGGGTGGGGTCAAAGGCCAGAAATAAAAGAATGTTAAAGGTCGAGTCTGCCTATCTCATTCCTAAAGCTATAATCATAAATTCCTAGTCTATCTCAGTTCTTCATCTGTCCAGGAGTTAGGGTGCTCCTGGCCATCAATCTTATGCTGACATGTGGCACATGCATGCTGAAGAAACACAGTTTAAATGACAGCCTTTGAGTCCCGACAGTGAGGGTTTCATATTACTTGGTTTTACTTTGGGGATCTTTGCAGGGTGCTGTTCCATATTCAGATGGGTTTGGAGGGTTCAACTTTTATCTTACATGATAAAATGATGATAATAACTTTATTTGTATAGCACTTTTTAAAGTGCTTCACAGTTTAAATAAAATCCACACATAAGTCGATAAGTACACATGTGAAAACAGAAACACATAAACAGACACATAAGGAACCACATGGTCATACATTCATTCTAACACACACATATACACACAAGTATATTCACTATGGCCAAAAATGATGGATATATGAAAGATTAAGGGAAACGTAACCTATGAAAATGAGTTTTCAGTAGTTGTCTAAAGCAAATAACAGAATCAGCTGACCTGGAAATACATGATCACTTCTGGCTTTAAACATCAGAGTAAGGGACAGTCAGGGGAACCTGGCTGGATGACTGGAGAGGTCAGCTGTAGTAATAAGGTTTTAGAAGCTCAGATACATAAGCAAAGGACTGGAATAGGTGTCATATGTGACCACCGGCTAGTTTTTTTTTTAGCAGCCTTGCTACTGCAATCTGCACAAAACGGGAGTGAGCTATGGAGGTCTCTGAGATTTCTGAGGTGAAATTTTTAAAAAGGTTGTTAGCCCGCCAGTTAGTGGAGGTGGACAGTTTGAGTTTCATATTACTCGCATAATCCACCCTGTGCCCCTTTCCTTACCTAAAAATATAGCACCAACATAACACTTTGATTAGCCTTCCAGCCACTGACATTTTGTGACATCTATACCAAATACAGCCTGTTTGGTTATTTTAATTAGCCTTATTTGATTGCCAACAGGCAACAAAATGGAAAATCCAAGACTGGTAAAGTAGCAAAGCAGAAATATTGACCGTGCAATGAACAATAGGCAGTAATTGTAACAGCTTCCATTGTATAGTACTGTGCAAAATTCTTGAGCATGTGTGTGTCGAAGTAGAGGCTAATGGTATTTAATTTGAGCTGATGTAATGAGGTGTAGAAGCATAAGCCACATCCCACAGAAAAGTTGAAATTTTCTAAAAATAACCTTGCTGTCAGAGTGTGTGCTCTTTTCGGAAAGTCCAACTAATCCTGGGGATAAAGCTGGTGACGCAGACTGGTCATCAATCTTACGCACACAGAGCATGACAGAAGAGCATAAAGAAGCCTGATAATTATAACATCGGTAAACGTCAGTTGCCATGACTAATGTCGTACGGTGTGTATTTTAAGGGCGTATGCCGCTTTCCGAGTATCATGTGCACTGTGTAAATTTGCACTCTCGTACTCTGTATGAGAGCTTATCATAACCACAAAAGTTGACCATCAAAACCCTACTGGAACAGTGGTGACAGTCGTGTGCAGGTGCTGCAGGATGGCTGCACCGTCACTGCCAGAAAACTGTAATGTTGCCTGGAAATGTAAAGACACACTGCTTTGCACTGACACAATACTGTGGAATGTGAGTGTTTAGAGGGCGTGAAACATGGACGCCAAACACGAACACGAAGTACAACATTTGAACAGCTATCATTCTGAAAGTAATGCATATGTCGACATTTGCTGATTTAAAGTAGAACCTTATTGTCACTTAACACACTCTCAAACATCATTCAACAAAGAACCTGCATGAAACACAGCTCTCTTAACCTTCAATTGCCCGTAGATTTAGATGTGCACTTGTGATTTTTCGTTTATCACAAGAAAAATCACATTCAGTGGCCCAATCACATTCGTTTTAGATTTGTTTTTTGAACACTGTCACGGGTTGCCAGGGCAAGCCGTGTGTGAATGATTTAGGACCCAGGAAGCACAGAGGTAAAAAAAAAAACAAAAAAACAAAACAAAACAGGAGCATCTGAAGGTCCCAAAACAAAACACAAGTCCAAAATAAAAAAACAAAACAAAAAACACTGGAGCCCAAGAAAAAACAGTTCAAAGAGCCGACCAGGAGGTCAGCACAGATGTCCAAAACAGAAAGCTCAGAGGCCGACAGCACAGGAGTCTGAACAGTTCAAGGGGCCGGCCGTGCGGAGGGCAGCGGCGGCGACGCAGGCGAAGGAGACAACAGAGCTGGTCCGGAGGCCGACTGTGCGGAAGGCAATGGCAACGACTCAGGCAAAGGGGGTCTGGAGGCTGGCCGCGCGGAAGGCAGCAGCGGCGATGACAGCACTGGTCCGGGGGGCCAACTATGCGGCAATGACGCCCGACCAGAAGCCTGGAAAGTGTGGACGAGGAAGTGGCAAGTTAACCGCAGAACCAGACGAGGCAGGACCAGGCGACGCTGAAGGCGAAGACACGGAGGCTGGACCAGCGACGCTGAAGGCGAAGACACGGAGGCTGGACCAGGCGAGGGTGATGAGGCTGGACCAGATGACTCTGAGTCTGGATCAGACAAGGCTGAAGACTCTGAGGCTGGACCAGATGTACATGGCGCTGCAGGCGATGGCGTGGAAGCCGGAGATGGTGGCGCTGCAGGTGACTGCGTGGAAGCCGGAGGTGGTGGCGCTGCAGACTGGAAGGATCCCTTGGACCCTCCAGCGGCGACAGGAGACGAAGGCCGGACGGGCCCCTTGGACCCTTCAGCAGAGGGTCCTATCACAAAGCCAGCAGGCACGGAGTCTTCTGGCAGACACGAAGGCAATGGGTGCTGTGGTGAGCACTGGCTCTGCCCAGACAGCGCTGACACGGTGTAGTTCTCTGGGGGCTGCTTAACCTTTGGGGATCCAGAATTAGCTGGGGACTGAAACCTAGCCTCTGGGGAGGCCCTGGAGTGCATAACTGTGCCCAAAGCAGCTAAAATGTGAGAAACACCCTGGGTGGAAATAAGATTTTCTCCCTGCATAGAAGAAACGAGCGAGACTGGGGTCAGAACGAGTGATGGAGCTAGCAGGGACACTGGAGCCTGAGCTATGGGTAGCGGGAAACTGGAGCCTGAGCTACGGGTAGCGGGGACGCTGGAGCCTGAGCTACGGGTAGCGGGGCTAGGGACACTGGAAGCTGAACTACGGGAGACACCGGAGACACTGAAAGCTGAACTACGGGAGACACCGGAGACACTGAAAGCTGAACTACGGGAGACACCGGAGACACTGAAAGCTGAACTACGGGAGACACTAGAGGCACTGGAGACTGAACTACAGGAGACACTGGAGGCACTGGAAACTGAACTACAGGAGACACTGGAGGCAGAGGACTGAACTGAAGGTGGCTGCTGGGCAGCTAACTGAGCTGAAGGTGGCTGCGCAGGTGAATAGCTGTTCACATTAGTATCTCCCACACCAAACACAGCCCCGGAATAAACA